TAATTATGTTTGCATAGGTGTATGCACAATTCCCGCTGAGACGTCGCTCAGGTGCCTCGCTAAGCGCAAAGTATGACCTCGTACTACACTAAATATCGAATGGATATAAGTAACTCAGATAAATAAGTATCGTAGAGATCTATTGTTCATATACGTTCTCATAGAGCTCTGTTCTACCACGTGCTTCATGTACATGCCTCTAGATTGCGCTGCAGTGTCTCTACGCAAGATCTGATCGTACATCATTGTTCGTCACTGCACAGACAATTGTATCTACGCGTCTTGTGATGACTGTAGATAGTGATATATGTGTGAAGAGTGCTGCATTTGTCTCGCACGGCACAGGTGTTATTAGGCACTTGACGTGCAGAATGAGCCGACTGTGAGCACGGTATAGAGTGTTTTCTAGCTTTCACCTCTTAGGCTTAGCATTACTTGTAACTGTCAATGTTTGTTAGCGGGTGCAGAGGCGCTGGTGGTCCCTCTGCTCGCCGAAAAGGAAAGCTAGCCAGAGAAAAGGCTTCCGCGTTGTCGTATAAGAAAAGTGAAGAGACGCACGCGAAGCATACGAACTAAGATGTGGTGATATGAGACGAGGTCGGGAATATCTCTAGGTCAGTACTTCAAGAACTCTGAAGGGCGTATGCTTTGTCATGGACGAACTTCAGGAGTGCGGTATTTGATAGTCTCCGAAATTTTCTTATTCGTAAGTTCTCACATCATGGAAATCCGATGCTCTGCAGGTGAGCTGACGACAGCCTGAAACTCGCTCGACACTGTATTTTCTCACGTACAGAAGCGTGGCAAAAATAGATCTCAAAAGGCTGCGATGTGCAGTGGACGGATAATTTCATAGCCTCTCTCTTTCTTGAAGGAAGCATGTACCAAATTACGGACACGCAGTCAGCAACGATAGTTACGTGCCAGAAATAGACAAGTAGCGCAAGTACGAATTCATCGGCAGCTTACTTTACGGAATGTGGAATTGCGGAACGGTCCGCAACGACGCGGCATATCGCTCATGAGCTGCACTCATCGAAGCACGAGTCATCTCTCGCAATAGGCGAATAAGTTCAAAAAGACTGTGGAAATCGAGCCATATGTATGAACTGCGCATAAATTGTGAGACATAGAAGCTCTCTCGGTGCTCGAGAAAATTGAGAAAGTGGGATAGTACTGATGAACTAGATTTTGCACTCTTACCCAGCGATTAGAGAGGAATTCTCGTGGATAGATAGAGCGACGGTTTTTTATCCAAGTAGATGACAGTATAGCGTGACTATTGCGCCTCGGTTGAATATAAACTGTCATATGTGTGTTATTACCAGAAATTGCATAGACTCCACTGCACCTAATTACTAATAGTACTCTGAAGTGATTTGAGGTCGCGGATATGATACTGGCACCTAATACGCAGATGGCCTAAACATGTTAGTGGCTCTCAATAGTTCTTATATGAGTGTTAGGCGCAGATGGGGACTGGCTAAGCAGCATGTGAGACTAGCAGAGTAGTAGTATATCGCTTAGACCGCATTAATCATTACATACTCGTGAATTCGTATATAGACGTAATGTGAGAAAATAATAAATCCGCCACGGTCCTTCGCATCGTCCGCGCTACTCGACTCCTATCGAGGTCTTTAGCAGCCCACAAACGGGGGTAACAGTAGTAGGTGTTCTCGATTCGGTGAAGGCATCAGGAGGTATCAGTGAACCAACTAACTCAACTCTGCTCGAAGAGTACTAGCTCGGAGGGCGTGGCCGACGAAGTCATACACACGACAGAAGAGCCCTACGCACTAGTATTATCGATGGATGTGATACTGAATCGAATTTAAATCCTCACCTGTGTCTCGCATCTCTAAGTATGTGATTGACTTGCGGTTATTCTTAGGCTCAGTCTATGACGCTAAGTTGTTAATTCTAACATCGCGAATTGTCAGAATTATAACTTAGAATTTTATTACTATGGTCGATACCGATAAGTTTGAGATGTGGTGAGACTGCTGTTGACGGAGGAAAGATGAGTGTAATGATAGAAGTTCGTGGAGCATTATGATTGTCCAGTTCGATGCTGTGGTGATAGATTCTGATCCGCAGATTGCTGGTCCGTTCTTAGCTTCGCGAAAGCATTTGATCACACGATAGAATGCCTCTCTTGGCAGCTCGGAACGTCGACGTTGCGATCGCGCACGTCTCATAATCTCTCCAATTACCTTCTGACTGAGTGTGTACATAACTGTACGATGATTAGAAACATTGTGTTAGTTTTGATTGCTCACAGGATTCGATTCAACAAAACTGATATGCGGGCCTGCAAAAGTTGTCCTGTGGGGTCAGGATTTGCCCCGAACTCGCAGGAGGCGAACACAAGACGAGGATATTTGCACCTCGCGTAAACAGATAGAAGAACGACATCTGCTTACAGGCTAGTAATTAAGCGAAATAATAATATGTCGCTCTTTTCTGCCGACAGGTATGTCCCTCCTCATGATGTAGTGGCGGATCCGCAGCATGGTCGCCGAGCTTTGATTCCTTCGCGCTCTGCCGCATTCTCTGCAATACTTCTATGACGCGCCCATGAATCCGAGACACTCACTGTTCTGATAAGCTCTTTTACCCCCCTGTCGAGGATTTCTTACCTACCCTGGTCAGCCCTTCACGCCTTAGAGGCAGCTTTCTACCCATCCGGGATATGTCCCAACTTTTTCTTGGGTGTGCGTGCGAGTCTGATGGTTACAAAAAGGTAGACAGACAAACACACAAAACTTCTGCTTTATATTGGGTTGTCCGAAAAGTTTCCGCCGTTTCTATAGCTTACTTTCGGAAGCTTTCTTTCCGCGCCACTTCAGCAAAACTGTTAATACTTAATATATCGTCAGAGAGCGCGTTTCTCGCCCTGTCTAAACATGTCTACTGTTTTTTTTTACCTGAACCACTTTTCCAATTTTTTTGAAGTCTTGAATACAACATACTCAACAGCCTGCTTTGCACTAGTTTCTTGTTTCCCCTCAAACTTGCTCGGAAATGTGCGGAAGCAAGTTGCGATATCAACTAAGCATTTGGTTCTGAGTCCACAAAAATACGCTGTGCAGTCGTGATTCAAAATGTCTTCCTCGCGATGTTGAAAGCTTTGAAGGAGATTAGTGATATTGGAGACTGATAAAGATTAGCAGAGGGCTTTGAAGTCAAACTCGGAAAAAGAGGCAAATCTTCAAAAAAATGGGGGGATTCGCCACGCAGTCAAGTAGCGCGTGATTTGAGCCCCGTTAAAGCAACAGTTCAGGGAGGGTCCGAAAATTTCAATGCCACTACTACTGAGGGATACACGAGCCCTAGTGAAGAACATATGCAGTGGAAATAATAAACGAACTTACCTCAGAAACTCAAAAACAGGGTGGAAAGTCCCTCAAACATGGGTGTTCTTGGGGATTTCCCCAATCCCGCCCCCTTGCCGGCCGTCATTGGACGCGTCGGCAATCGTGCTCGTTTTGGGACCACAGGGAAAATTGATTGAAAAATGGAGCGCGTTTACAGCGGGCACGTTCAGACAACTCGTCCAACGTGCGTCTTTATCCATTGCTGAGCGGCAGAGGGAGAGTACCTGTCTAAGACCCTCCCCGACGTTTTTTTCCAGTTTTTCATACATTAATCGTCTGGTTTTCATCTACAACTTCATTATTGGTGGTTTTTTCCCGCGAAACCGTTCCTGAACTGTTGCTTTAATGTGGTTGTTAAGCATTTCGTCAAGAATCTGCAGCATGTGGAATCCAGAAGAGCACTGAACCCTTTTCTTCGCGTTTCAGTTGCGATGACCGTAGTGTTATGGGAAAAGCAGCCGATTCTCCCAAGGGGTGCTCAGGAACTCAACCTTCAAAAAAACCTAATTTTTGAAAGACACCGTTTGGCGTGTGTTAGAAGAACTCTGAGACCACTGTTCGACGGAAAATGAGTATGGCACAGTTGAAGACACAAAGCCATCCCAAAAATCAAGCCAACTCTTCCATAATGTGTGCATGCTGCGCCAGCTGCATTAAGTTCGGCTTTCTACCCGCTACTTTTTACTGTCTGTCTGCCTCCCTCTCAGTTTTTTTCTCTCCAGATGTGTTTAACGGAGATGAAAAACCCGTGCTGAACATGTAATAAAGTAAGAGAACTGAAGACAGGCAGTAAGAGGTACCACGCAACCATGTCACCTCATGTCGGCCAGTTCGATCACAGATTTTGGGAAACGTGGCTTGATTTTTGCTATGAATTTAGGTCTTCAACTCTGCCATACTCATTTTCCTGTCGAAGCAGTGGTCTCAGCGTGTATTCGGTTTAAACACACGCCAAACGGTGTCTTTCAAGAAATTAAGTTTTTTTGAAGGTTGGTTCTTGAGCACCCCTTGGGAGAATCGGCTGCTTTTCCCTATAACACTACGGTCATCGCAACCGAAACGCGAAGAAAAGGGTTCAGTGCTCTTCTGGATTCCACATGCTGCAGGATTCTTGACGAAATGCTCAACAACCACATTAACGGGGCTCAAATCACGCGCGATTTGACTGCATGGCAAATCTCCCCACTCTTTTGTAGATTTTGCCTTTTTTCTGAGTCCGACAGCGGTGTTACTTCCGTCATCACCTAAGAAAGAGGAAGTGGAAACAACCTGACAGTTACGCCAAATAACAATGAAGTTCAACCGAGAAACATGGGGTGGATTTATATTTTTGCACAATCGGCAAAGTGGCCCTTTTCTGAAAAATGAAAAAAAAAATTTTCGTGTTTTCGAAATGGAAGTTGGTGTTTACACTCGAAATTATATTTATATTGAGCACATTTTTCTTTCAAAGGCTTTTTCAGAAACACCCTATCATGCGAATTTTCAAGAACTTTAGGTGAATTTATATTTTTGCAAAGCAGTGTATAAGTTTGACGTACTGACACACAAAGCAAGCACAACTCGCAGAAAGCAAGTTGGACTAATAGGTATCGCAACAAGATGTGTTGAAAAACAACTTTATTGATTCAGGAACTTTAAACTCGATGCTCTGCATACAAACGATTGCATTTTCGTGTCGCACGGATGATCATTCCACCACCCCGGAAACTTAAAGCCTCCTTTGTACATCTGAAATGTGTAATAGCAGCACAAAATAAATAGTGAAAATGACCCAAGGGTAATCTAATATTTATTCGAATAATGTGTCAGAGCATTAGTGCGTGAAAACTAGAGCCGGAAGTCAGGGAATGTTGGCAAAAACAAGCAAATTTGAAGGGATTTTGGATAAGCACTTCATGGAAGGAAAGATAGCATACGGTCCCAAGCATGGTCAGCTGTATGTTTGCACTACTTAAAGAGTAAGTGGTATTTGTGATATCGCTAAAGGAACCCTTCGCGGAAAAATCCTGTTTTTTTCTGCAACATGCATATGTCAGTTGTGATCACTCAGAGACACACACAAAGTTTCACGCACAGATTCAGTTTCCGAAGAGAAACAAACTACAAAAACTACACTCTATGGACAATCGAAGGTAAGTGGCGCGGAGCCAAAGGCGGGGCATGGAAAGAAGTCCGCCTTGGGGCGGCTACGTATCAGGCGACGTAATGAAAGAATTGGGTTCAAGCGTGCCGTTTTTTTTTCGTCTTTTGCCGTCTAAGACCCATCTCGAAGCATCCCCGTCGTCAGAATTGGTTGATGTCTGGCGGTACTTCGAACGTGTAGCAAGCCCTTCCGGTTTTTACGAGTTTTTTTTGTTTTTTTCGCTCTTGTCGTAAACTATGTGTTCCAAGCCAGTGAGTTATGGGTGAAATAGAACCTCGATTTTTCCAAGAAGGGGTTGCATTT